GAAAATGGTTGGCCTGCCCCTGTGTCTACCAACTTTGTCAAGTAGTCATGGCAGCCTTATTCTGGTTGCCCCGCGTTTTCGCAGGATGACCGGCCTTGCCTGCGCTCTCAAGCGGCCGTCGAAACGACTTGGCCCAGGCCACACGTGCCGGCGCAACGAGGAAAAACTAGGGTGCCGGAGCGGCGAGCTTTCTTTTTTCTTGGCCCTGCAGAACGGTCAGACGGCAGATGTGTGTGTGTGTGTGTGTTTTTGTTTTTCGAGGGTACCCTTCTCCCCTTAAGTTGTTTTTTTTTTGTTTTTGTTTTTTGACTTCAAGGGGAACCAAAAGGAGAAATACTTATTTGGAGGTTCCCCTATTTTGATACATACCCGGTTATTTTTTATTAAGCTACCACAGCTATTTGCTGCACTGCCACAAATAGCGCAGCAAAGCTTGCAGCCACAGGCCTCTACAGGTGCTTGGAGTCCCATTGCTCGCGATACCGGGGGCTGCGTACGACGCATCTTCGAATTCATCAGATTTCATTTGCCCCCCGCAGGACTTGAGGTAGAAGGCGAGGACGGATGACCTGAACCTTTTTGACTGGCCCACCTCTGACCACAAAGCAGAGTGGGATATTGAAAGACAGCGTGGGTCGGGGAAACAAGTCGGGTCAGGCTGGATTTCTGGAGAGACACGAGCTCAGGCCTAATCTTGCTTGGGATTTCAATGGTCTAGGGTGGATGCTCTAATTTTGTCCCTGAACCCCCCCCCCCCCCCCGGCGAATTTACCGCGGTTGAGTGTGGTTGGTCTGCTTGCAATATTTAGGGCGTCCAGCGTATGGTAGGTAACCAGAGAAGTAGTCATGTGTAACCTAGAGGCAACGATACCAGAATAGTGGTAGCTGGAAGCATTGGCAGCATGGCTTCTCAGGAGGAAGGCTCAGTTAATTTCGACAGAAAACGAATTCGGGGGGGAGGCATGGATCCTTGGAGACTATTGGGGCTCAAACCATGAATGAAAATACACCAAGCTGGTTGCAGTATATACTTGGCACTTCAAGCTAAAGAAGCAATATCTTAAACAAGGTGGATAGACGTCAACTTGCCCACCATATCCCTGGAGGAGGTCGAGCTTGCCAGGGGAGGGGGGGGCAAGGGGTGGCCTGTTCTTCACTTGAGGCACAGGAGGTTCAGACCTGGTCGGCCGGGCGCCTGGTTTGGTTTGCTCACCGATCTGGGGTAAAACGAGGGGGTCCTTTCCTTGGGGAATAGTAGGACTCGCAGAAAGTTTCTGATCTGAATGGTTTTAGGGGGGATTGATGTTAGCTCGTGCAATCACTCCCTGGTGAATTGTGCAACGTCCTGGCAGCCAGAAGCCAAATGGTTGCAATTCAATACTTATGTCATGCGCTGGCTGACTGCATGCTGGCAGTTGCGCACAAGCCAAGGCAACAATACCATGGGTTGCTATATGGGTGTGTCTTGTTTGAGGGCCACCAAAAATGTGGGTGTGCGGTGTTTCCTCAAAAAATGACGCACCCATACATATTATATATAGCATATATGTATATATCTATACACTTTTGTTTTGAGAACGCTTTTGGAGGTTGTTTAAGCGGGAAAGACGGGAACCTCGCCATTTTGCGGATCCTTTGTTGACACAACCCTTTATTTGTTTGTGTGTTTTGCTTGCAGGCAGCTTCCCTTGGAAACCAAAAAGAGGAATCATCTCAAGCAGATGGGAGCTACCGGGGGGGAGCTCTGTGGATGACCAAGAGTCATCCTAAGAATGATCCTCTAGGTGGCTGAAGGGAGACCACCTCAAAAACTCCTTCTGAGCTTAGTGGCTCCCAGCCATCCGGTTCCTTAGCTTTTTAGCCTTTTAGTGTGTAGTGGTATTCCATGTGACCCACAAGGACCCCTCAAAATGTTTTCTTCAGGACGGGTTGCCTTTCGGGCCACTGGTCGCTTGCAACGTTTTGCCGAGCCGGCCGCCAAGGCCTCCCGAGCCTATGGGGCCGATTGCCGTAGGGCGGCCCAGCCTTGGCACCTGACTGGTCCTTGGCCACGACCTGTTGGAAACAACCCGCTTTTCCATTCCAGCCGCTTGCAACCCGCAAGGATGCCCAGGCAAAACTATCAACTAACAAAAAGATTACCGCGAATGCTCGGGAAAAAAAGGAAGCCTGATGATGGAACCTGACTGCGGTTCTCCTCCAAGACCATGTTGCTCTCAAGGTGACCCTTTGGCGGGTTCCATGTTAGCAGGTAAGCCTTCGCCGATTTGCCCGAGCCGAAAGCCGCGGCTTAGCCGAGTCTTAAAAGACAAAGGGGCTGATGCCTCTGCACGGCCATAGCATGATATAACATGATGGACACGTGCACTATATTCTAGGAGGACAAGTAACACACTCAGATGCTCAGAGTTGGTTACTGTACTCCTGCCCGTGGTTTCGGTGAACTGATGGTTTGCAGGAGCACTTATTGTGGCCTATGTTGCGGATCTCGGCCGAAACTCAGACGTAGCCACGGCATGGCGTAGCGCCTCAATGGAACCTAACAGGATCTGATTCACTTAGCGGTTCCCAGCCACACCCATTGATATTTTGCTTTCTAGAGCCTAGAGGGATTTAGTTGTACATATCATGCTTGGGTGTTCGGCCAAGGTAGTAAGCAATTGGTAACCTAGGTTATGCCTCACTTGTAAGTTCCCCAAGTGCGGTTAGCCTTGTTATTAGGGGGTTATACCCCAGGTGGAGAGCCACCGCCTTTGGCCGAACATCCAACTACTATAGGTTTTGAAGAGGCGGGTGTTTTGGTCTGTGTCTTGAGACGTTTGACCGTTTGACGTTTTGGGAAATGAGTTGCTACAAAAGGTGCCCACTAGTTGCATGGTCACAACGCTTGATTGTTTCAAGGCGGCTATCCTTGAATCGACGTTGTGCAATCCTCCAGTTGCCCCTATCAATCAGGCAACTCCTAGTTGGTGGTTGGCGAAACCACCCGTACTCCAAACCGGAAACTCAATCAGGCACTTGTAATGACAAGCGTGCTGTTTGCAGATGAGGGGCTGAAGTGATGGGAGTCACATCACCGGCTATTCTTTTCCTCCACCGCCAGGCTTACTTTTGCGATTTCGGATGTCCTTTATTCTCCCTTTGGCCCAAACAGGAATCCGTCGAGTCTCAGTCCAGCAGCAGCCTTCTCCAAGGGGGTGGGTTCCGAAAAGCAGCGAACCCCAACAACGCCCTTTTTTCTCAGGTCACACAGCTGGATGGATGTTTCCACTGCCTTCAACCGGCGAGGGCATCCAAATCCAAATGTTTGGGCGCATCGTTCCACGCTCGCGGCAACCATCATCCGTCAGGTACTATATAGGGGTCTATTATATGGCACCAGGGTCGCCCAAAACTCTACTCTGTTGATTTAGGCTTCTAGACTTCTTCTCTCTCACAAACCTCGTGCGACAACCTTACCTGGAACCGCGGAGCTCAGGGTTAAGACATAAAAGAAGCTAAGTGGGAAGTACCCCAAACCTTTAGCCTCCAGTGGTCCAGTGGCGTCCAAGAGGCAACCCAAGGCGCAGTCTGGGCCTTCCTATGCCGTTTCTCCTTCTTTTGGAAGAGGTTTCTCTTTGAGACCAACTGCCAAACATCGCTTTTCATGTATGTCATTTTTTATGCGATGGACCATGGGGCTGGGGGGGAGGGAGGAGAGGGGGGAGGGAGCCCAAACAAGCCCTTGTTAAGCCCTTAATAAGGCCTTATTTAGGGCTTATTTGGGCTCCTCCCCCTTCCCCCTCCTCCCTCCCCCCAGCCCCCATGAATGGAGGGGCCCTTCCTTTAACATCAGCCACCAACAAGGCAGCCCTATACCCGGAAGCTTGCGGATGCCTGGCAGGCGGCCGACAACAGGGCTGGCAAGAAGTGGAGGGCTCTGACCTCAGCTGGGAAGGTCCGCATAAAACTCACAGAATCTTCCATTCCCAGAGGGTGTTTTTTTGGTACCTTCTAAGGAGGTACTGAACGACCCCTGAGAACCCCCCCCTTTTAAGCTATCCTCACATGCTTCCAGCTGCTTACACTCCAGACTTAAGCTCCCAGAAGGCCGATGTAAATGGACCCAAAGTCTTCCAAAGTCCTGGGGGCTTCCGTGTTTGCCTGGGAGAGGGGAAGTGTTTTTGTTTTTTGGCTTGATGGTTTTCAAGGGAATCTATCACTACAGGCTGTTGTTTCTTTCTCCGAGGGGCTGAAGCAAATGGAGGCATGCTTTGGTTCCGGCGAATCGCAAGGACGTCAGGGATCCCTTGTGCTCGCTTGATCTAAACAAATGGACCCTCAACTTCTCTCAACAAGCTTCTGATGCCAACAAAGGCTCAAAGCAATCCGAGTTTGAACAAAGGTTCCACAGAGATCAGTTTTGCCAGCGTCTTGGCTTCAGACGGTGAGGCTCGTTGGAGTCCAGTTGAGCCCCGAGCAAGTCCAGTTGGGAGTAGCTGTGGCGATCCATATTTTGTTTACACTTATCTGATTCATCCGGTGTGCACCATTCAATCAGGCAAGCCTTCATTTGGGCAGACAGATGGCTTGTCCGATTCCTTCCAGTCTGATGTCGAAGCTTGCCACATGCGAAAAAGGCGCCCATGCCGATTGGAGCAGAACCAAAGAGTCCCTTGAACAGCTTTGCGATGTGACCGCAGCGGGGTCCGAACATATTTTGGTGCCCTAAGGGTCCCGGCTGTTTTTGGACCTTCCAAATTGGTTGTTTTTGAGGGCCTTTGAGGGGTCGGGGTTCTCCATTGCAGGGTCCCGGGGTCTGCGTTGGAGGGGTCATGACCCTTAGGGTGGAAAGGTGTCTTTTTAGGCCGAGCGCGACATCCCGGAAGCCATTCAGCTCTGAGCCTGCAAAGTCAAAGCAAGCCATAGGGCCGCAGGTGGAATTTTCATTTTGGTGGGTCGCGGGCCAGCAGCTTGAAATTTGCAGGTGTTTGGGCCATGTGGGCGGTAGAACACATACATTTCACTGTTCTGGTTTAGCTCATGCCACCTTGGGCGCTGGGTTGTGCTCATGCCCAATGCTGCACTTTCGAGTGAGAGACGGGGCAGAGAACTACGCGAACTGCGACGGCGACTACAGGCCTTCCGGCCTGCAGTGCAATGAATCGCCGGTGTATGTTAACGAGCCAAAGTCGCGGATGCTGGCGAAAGCAGCTGATGCTGAGCGCTAACTAGCACTTCAAGTTGTGTTTTTCCCAGGAAGCCAAGAGAAAAGGGTAGTCTCTAGTGGTTTTGCTGGAGCCCTTATTTGGTATCCAGGACGGAACGTGGGTGATCAGCAGCTTGGAATACCTGGATGACATTCTGAAGCACTGCGAAAGTTTTGGAGGCTTTCACTCCAGCTGTTCTGCCAATCCGGCAGATTGGAGCGACTATGAGGTTTTCCCCTTGCAGGCTCTCCGACACCTCGAGGTTTTGGTTCGGCAATTTATGGTTCTCACAACTTTTACGACCAGTTCAGTAGCAAACAAAAGCGTTTTGTTTTGGCCAGTCAACTCAGACAATGAGGGTGGCATATTTGCTCAAGCTGGATTGTTCATTGGTTTTGTAAACAGGCAACTTCGAATGGTTTCCTGGTACTCCTTTGTCTTCCATTGCTCCCAGAAACAAGGCATTTTGGGTGACCCACCGCATCCGTGAGGAGCTGGATGTGTCCTTAAAGGCAGGCTGCGACGACTACGCCGCTTGCCTGGGTGTCTATACGCAGCTCCCGGACCGCCTTCTACATGGCTTCCCCGTGTACGTGGCTTCTACCGGGGCCGGCGGCGGGCGCTTCATGGGGAGATCTGGAGATGGCTGGGTCATCACAAGTGTAGAGCACCTGGAGGACTGGGGCTCTCTCATTTTGAGGGCCAACTGGGACCTCTTGTCGTGCTTGGTCTAGAGAAGTTGTATCTGAAAGGAAGCCATTGAAGTTCAGAAGCCACGGGTCAAGTTAGAGGTAGACGTTCTGCCTAGCCTACCGTTTTGATACGCCTAGCGCTTCCCTTCGGCAAGCCTTTGAGGGTGTAGCCAATTCTGAGCTGAGATGGGCACTTCAGGCTGTGGAGCTAGGGCTTACGTGTTTTCAGGGGTTCTCAACATTGCTGGGGGGTTTCCCTTTGAACCACGATTGAGATGTTTCGTAGAGGGCAGTTTGAAGGGCAAAACAACTCGGGATGGCACTTGGAAGGGCCCTTTCTTAGGGGCATTTTTGGTTGTTTAAGGGAGCCACCTTAAGAGTGGTTAGTGGACCAACCATCAACCATCCCAGTTCCGAATTTGAATGAAGGACAAGATTCAGGATGGCACTTGGAAGGGCCATGTTTTTTTCTTTTTTGAAAAAGTGGTTGGTGGACAAGAAAATCCCCGAGTTCCGATGTCCACCATTTCCGGGGAAAACAAAACGAAAAACAACATCGCCGGAGGACTTGTTGGCCAGTCAGCCGGGCTCCTTCGGCGGCTTTCACTCGGCGCCTTGCGAGACGGAGGGCTGGGAGAGGTACGAGGTGAGCTGGGTCTGGCCGATCGAGGCCGGGCAAGGCGAAAGCTCCCCTTGGTTCGGAGCCGCCAGAAGCCACTTGCCCAGTGGCGCGCGCCTTTTGTTTGTTTCTTTTTTGGAAGGGTTGCCCTTTAAACTCAACCAACCAAGAAAGGATGCTCGTTTTGCCCATGGCCACTGGGCATCTGGGAGAAGCTTAGACGGAATCCCCCCCGGCGAGCATCGGCCCATTTGGGCCTCACTCGGCGAGCGTCCCAGAATCTGGGCCTGCGAGCGTGGCCCTGAATCTGGGCCACTGGTTTGTATTTTGGGGCTTAGAGGGCGCTTCATGACCACCAAGTCCCGAACTGGACTGCGCACAAACCCTTGTTGGGTAGAACGTTGGTAATGGTTCTTTTGTTTCCATTTTCCAGGGATCTTTGCGGAAGGGATCTAGAGAGAAACCGCTATCACCATGACCTGTAGCACTCGGCTTTCGCGTTTCCCAGCCATCAACCATAGCAGCAGGGCCAGGGGGCACGCAGCATCAATCTGAGATCCAACTTTGGCCCCTTTGGACAACAGAGATGCGAAAAGGAACCGACCTCAGTAGATACACTTAGGCCAGCTTAACAATCAGCATTCACAGCGGATTTGGATTTGAAGGATACCAAGACTTCTTCTGAGTGTGGCCAATGGTCATTGTTGCCGTTTCCCCTTGCAGTGATTGTCGAAATTCCCCTGCAAAGGGTTTATGCCCAGCCGCCCTAACAGGGTTCATCAAAGTTACATCATGCAATCAGCCTGGCACACTATGTCGCATTTCCATGTGCAATCTCATCTGGAGCGGCATCCAATCCCGGGCACTTTTCAGCTAGCAACCAGGATCCATTGACTAGGTGCCCTTTTACCTTCTTTTCGGAGAGGGTTCCCTAGTAAAATGGACTACAGAAAAAAAGAAGAAGAAAAAGAACGGGTACTCTTATTCTAACCTCTCTACTGGAGGACCTAGTTGACTAGAATCACTTCCGGGTTCTTCTGAGTCCGTGGCTGGGACCTGGCTGGACCTCCATGAGAACTTTCCGGAGATCACGCCGTGCCGTCGACTGTCGGAGAAAACGGAGCCCAAAAAGTATGCATCACTGCATCACCGCTCGACAACTGGAAACCAGCCCATTGAGGAAGAGGTCCCCTTTGTCGGGTCGCATGTGTTTTTTCAGAAAGCCATGCTTTATCATGTTCGTGTTCACTTGGCAAAATGTATGCTTCTTTGCTAACAGGTTCTATTGGCAGTATCTGAAGGGAAGCCAAAAAGGAAACCACACTTTTCAGGACCACTCTACTAAGACGCAACGCCAGTGGTTTTCGTTTTCAAGAAGCCAGGGAGTGCCTCAGTTGCGAGGAGCTCCGGCGCGAGGAGCGCCAGGAATTCCAGAAGTTTGCGAACACCACGGTGTCCTTCAAGGCCGTGGCCAACTCCGGCGTCTGCAGATCGGAGCAGGAAGCAAGGGGCTCAACGACCAAACCCTGCTCGGAACCGGGCCATGTTGATGTGGGTCAGTTTAACGGATAGAACCCCCGTGCGATCAGATGCATGGGAATAGTGGAAGTGCTTGAAAAGTAGCCTTTTGCGTGTGGACATGGCCCAAAGACCATGCGTTTGAAGAGTTGTTTTTTGGGCTCTTTGTCTTGGATTCCCCAGAGGCCATGGGAACACGAGGGGCTGGAACCCAAACAGCGGTCATTTCTGGATCAACATTTACTAATCGGACAGGTTCCATGGTAACTTCATGGCAGGTCCCGTCCATTTCAAATCACCGCAAACTTCCGGCCCTGGTGTGGTATGCGTTTGGCGTTTGGCGGTTGGCCCTCCATTTTTTATTTTTCCGTTTTGCTGGATGGGGCTTGCTTTAATAGCCAAAGCTGGTGGGTGGGCTGGCCTTGGGAGGGTCTCCAGGAGCAGGCCAAAGGCCAGCTTTTCCCCATGGAAATCCACTGGCATAGGTGGCCTTAGGTCCGTTTGGTAGATCCAATCATTTCTGAGCGCCATCCATTTTGCCACAACACCTACCTACTGTTTGAAGCCCCTGCAAATATCAACGAAGCATGGTTTCAGCCATGGTTTTAACCATGGTTTGAAGGTGGTCTGTCGCAACCATCCACAGTAAGTCATTTGTAGAGTGGGGGCTACAAAAAAATGAGCATGTTTAGCTGACGCGCCCAAGGCTGGAAAGCTATAGCCGACCTGACGAGAAATACGGTGAATGGACAAAAACCTACACCACTTTGAAACCATTGTTCAGTGGTATTTTCAGGCGAATCAACACTGGGATTCACGCGAATTCGTCGTTTTGGATTCCGCAGGACTTCCAGGCGAACTTCCGGCGGTGCAGGGCCCTGGACTGTGGGGGCCTGGCGCTGAGGAAGGCGAAGACCAATCAGTTCGGGGAGGACAGGGTGGCGAAGTCGCCGATTTTGCGAGTTAATGTTGACCCCGGATTAATAAACCCCTGGTTGATTAATAGGGTGGTGTCCCCTTGTAGTGGGGATTCATCACTTCTGGAGGGAACATGGGTCAACATTAGTACCCTCTCAGGCAGGTTTTGTGAAAGGGAAGCCCTTAAAACACCTCTACTGGTTGCTCTTTGTTTTGTTTTGTTTTTGGCGGGGGGGGGGGGCTGGGGTCCCCGACAAAAAGCACACATCCAAATGTTCTGGGCTCTCCTTTGGGCGGTTTTTGCGCGTTGGTCTGACTTTGTTTTGAGAGGCTTATTTTGAGGGGTTGTTTTGAGGACTGGCTGGTTTTTGGGTTGTTTTGTGTGGCTCTCTTGCTGAGGGTTGTCTTGTGCTGAGTGGGTGGCATTTGTATGCATTTGTGGCAGGGTTTGATTGCAGAAAGCCCAGGTTGTTCAGCGTTACCCTTGCCTCTGTGTTTTTCTTTGTTTTCCCTAGAAACATTAACAAACCTAAACAGGGTACCATCGCCACTGGGCATCTTGGGCAAAGAGGGGGCTTCCATTTCGGGGTTGCCCAGACAATCTCAAATGGCGAGTTGGACTAAACCTGACTCAACATCGGCTTTGGGCCTTCTGCGCGTTGAAGAAGTTTGGATGCCATGAGCACTTTTTGCTTTGCCCTCTTTGCATGGTACCCTTTTACCACCCGCCCTGGATCACAAGCAGCGTGTATGGCAGGAGGAGGAGCCTCCCGTGCGCCTCAGCTGGGGAGTCGTTGTCACACTCGACTGGCTACCCTCTTCATGCTAGACCTTTTGGGTGGCTTTTCTACCAAACCTGAGAAAGACTTTGGACCTTTTGCTCAGGGGAAAGGACAACCCAGATAAAGGATACCAGCTGGCAGACAAAAGACAGCCAACCAGCTGATGTAAAGGACCCGGTTCTTTGCCACGCAGATGGTTTTCGGATGTATCCTTTCAGGTTCCCTGATCATGGCAGATTTCCCAAAATTGCCTGGGTTGTTCAGAATCAACCCTTGCAACCTCATTCCTGGTTACAGTGCTGTCCCGCTACGGGCTACTGATTTGGATTCGGAATCTCCCCCCAATTTTGGAGAACCCGCGTATGCCATAGGCAGAAGCCACACAGAAATTACCACAGGTTTACACAGCGGTTCTTTCCGAGGTTTCCTTTGGGCCTTCTGCAATTGGTTTGCTAAACCAGTTTGCTGCTTGGGTGACAGTCACGTTTTGATTTTTCAAAAGACAACCCTTGGCCATCTCGAAGGGTTTTTCCACGGACGGGGGGTTGTCCTATTCGCGGGAAGAGCTTCAAAACTCTGTTCTTTGGTTGCGCATGGGTATCCACATCTTAATAGTATGCGGTTTGGTCGGGTTTGGTTTCTGGCAGGGGGTTGGACCGACCTGGTTCGAGTGGGGGATGGCTCCCGACCTGGTCAACAAGTGTGGCTTGAGCTGCTGATTCTTTGGTCCTACAGTATGGTTGATGGCCGACTCGTTGCATTCAACTAACCACTAGGGTGGAGGCTGGGCAACGCATTGAGCGTAACAGAGCACTCAGCTTTGTCAGGTGTCATATGGTGTTTTAGCCGTGCCGTCCGAAGGCTCCAGCTACTACTTTGGCAGGTAACTAGGATTTCTATGTTTCATGATTTTCCTGTTTCCTTCTATGTGGTAACTGGCTTCTCTAAATTACTGTTAATGGCAAACCAAAAGGAACAAACAATTTGTTGCCCTTGCTGCATATACCCTAATGCATCACGAGAGGCAAAATACAGCAATCTCACCGGGGTAAAATGAGCTCACCCGATGGTCCCTACTTGGATTCCCATTGCTTTGGCAAGTCACTCACTTTGGAAAGCACATATCCTGCCTGCGAGCAGCTTAGCGCAAGCATTATTCTGGGCAATTCATAGCAACTTCACTCGGGTTTTGCGTCGTAACTTGGCAAATTGTCAGGATTTGCCCATGGAGAGGCTGACCTTTAGCTCACAAAGTCTCTTAAAGGATCCACCTGGGCCAGTCCGAGAATGACTTTGTTTTACTGGTTTAGAGGATCCTGCTGCTTGCGAACCACGTGGTTTTTGTTGCTGTATCCTTCCACCAACACCTTGTACTGGCCTCATTGTTTTACCATGATCAAAGTCACCCCCTAAGTGGTGGGTTAAAGGGAAAGATTCCCATTGTCTGACTTTGATGACCCCCAGAAACCATGAAAACCATGGCTCCAGTTGTATTAACCCTCGACGGCTTTCCCCAAGCGAGCGCCCTCCGGCCGAAGCTTCGCGTTTCCGAGGTGCTTTTTCTTCCGCCGGACCCAGGCGGAGCTGACAGCGAAGATGGCATCATGGCTGTTGGGAAACATTTTTCCCATTTTTGCTTATACTGGTTTAATGGTTGAAATCCCCACTTAACTGCTAAAACTACAAAAACATGGTGGGTTGTGGGGAAACATGCTTAATGTCTACCTCTGATGAATAAACACCCCCCCCAAACAACTTCCTCCCCCAAATAATGTTCTGAACTTGATTATGAATTGCTAAGTATTGCACACACATTTTTTGTGTTTCAATTGATTTAGTATTGCTGGAGCCTCCTTTTGAGATTGGATTCGGGGTTCCAATTGGTTTAGTATTGGTGGATTTGAGTTTTCAATTGATTTCGTATTGCTGGAGCCTCCTTTTGAGATTTGACTTGAGGGATTTGAGTTTCCTATTGGTTTAGTATTGCTGAGGGATTTGAGTTTCAACTGGTGTAGTATTGCTGGAGCCTCCATTTGAGATTTGACTTGTTGGGATTCCAATTGATTTAGTATTGCTGGTGACACTTCTTCTATTTTTTTTGGGGGGGGGCAACCAGAAATCGTTATTTAGGGGGGCCCCCTAAATAATGTTTTTTTCAACCCCCAAGTACTACCCCCCTTGTAGGGTTGATTCGGGGCCACTTTTTAAACAAGAGTATGTGAAGAATTTGCAGTTTGGGAGCTAGTATTTTTTGTAGATCTGAAATTTTAAGGCTGGCGAGGCAGATTCTGACCAATCAGACAAGCTAGTGGAGGAGGTTGAGATGATGCTAGCGGGTGTGTGAGTGTGTGTGTGGATTCCCCGCCAAAAAAACACACACAAAAAACAACATAACTTTATTTCGGGGGGTTTATTGATCAGTGCCGGCCCAGAACATAACTTTAATTGGGGGAGGTTGTTTAATCATAGGTCGACATTATGGTGGTTTAGTGTCTGAAATCCAACCACTGAACTGCTATATATATATATATACATTTGCTGCCCTTCTGCCTCGTCAACCGAGGCATCCTCGGAGCACTTCGACTTTTATCTGGCGCCGGAGAGCTTCCACCCGGACTGCACCTTGGTTTGTCCTCTAGGTCCCCCAGCTAGATGCCCTTTCTCATCGTTTATTTTTTGGTTGGGAGGGTTCCCCTACTCAAATAGACTACAGAAAAAAAGTTGGTACCCTTATTTTATCCTCTCTACTGGAGGACCTAGTCTTGCTTCGGGAAAACTGGACTCGTTTGTTCAAAGCAAATCCACCTTTTGACTTGACCCTTCGGCTTCCAAGTTTTGGCGCACTTTATTTAGCGAGCGTTCCACAAGGTTAACCTTTTACATCGCTTGTGGTTCATTTTTGGGGATCCCTGGGTTCATTCCCAACAGTCTTGAAACTCCCTAAGAACCAGCAAGTTGTGCGAGGGCTGAAATGATTGTTTTTGAGGTTTTGGGGTGGGAAAATCTCCTTGTGACACAATGACACGGAATGGCGTTTGGTCGCCCTATTTTGCTTGGTTGCCCTGTACCCTTATTTGCCGTGATTGTGAGGCTGAACTAGGCATCATGTGCCCCAGCCAGCAAGCAAATCACTCTTTTGCTGGGGGATGCTGGGGGTAACTAACTGAAGTAAACTTGTTGCGTTTTTGGTGGCGGGGCGGGACACCAAAGGCAAAAGGTGGAACATTGGTGATGCTTTTCTTGTTTTGTTTGACCAAACTAGGGGAGAACGTCGTTTTCCTTGAAAGATCAGTGGTGCCGATTTTATCTCCCCTTTGGATGTGTGTGGTTGCGTGCGTTTTGGCCCAAGGACCTGTTGGGATTCCACAATTTCCTTTTTGACCAGCAACATGACCTTTTGCAGGAGTCCAAGTCTGACCGAGTGGTGATATGACCAGTTTTATGTTGCGTGTTTTGTTAAGCCAAGCGTTTACCCTTTTGCAGCCAAGTTGTGACCCCACAAAGGGGCTATGACCTCAACATGTGTCCAGGATGGTTTTGAATCAACGTAACGCGTGCAGGACCGGGCATTTCCTTTCATCAAGCGCTCTTGCTTGATTCAAAAGGAAACTGAAACCAGCAGCTCCCACGGGCCCATGGACAGAGTCCATGTTGCAGACTGCCAAGCCCCGCAAAACAGACGGCCAAGGCGCGTGTCCACACCCCGCTGGGGTGTTTCGCGTGGGGCGACCCAGGCTGCTTCAAGCCCTTCAGGGATCCGGCACCCGCGTGCCACATCCGATGGAAGTCCGGCAGGCGCGGCACCGAAACTGCCTGGCAATTGGTGCAGACTGTCCAAGAGATTGGAGTATCAAACTGCATGGAGGCTTGAAGGCAAATCCTCCTGCATATCTAAACGTACACAGAAAAGTGTACACTTTGTTAGGGAGACAGAGAGAGGGAGAGAGAGAGAGAGAGGGAGACAGAGTGAGGGAGAGAGAGTGAGGGAGAGAGAGAGAGAGAGAGGGAGAGACAGAGTGAGAGGGTATGTGAGTGTCAAGTGAGGTGTATACTCCCAAATCGCATCCGACAAGGATGAGGTTTGGTTCCCCCTGCTGCAAGTGAACACCTGCATATTAATATTAATAATGAAGAGAGTAGGGTGAGCTTTGAATGATACCGCATGAGCGCTCTATCAGTAGTCATACGCAGCACGCTTTGGTTGCCTCAATGCTTCACAGCTCGGCACATCAGCTTTGAGAACATATGCCTGACAAGTTGGGGTGTGCTCGTGCCATGTTTGGGGTTTGTGTCCAAGGAGAGCTTGACTGCTATTGCGTTGGATCTTTAGACTTTAGCTTTTTGGGAAATCAAGGGGTTTTCCACTATACCCCCCAAAAGTTAAACTTTTTGCAGGGGGGGTCAGCAGCAACCAAGAGAGAAACCCACAACACGAGTGATTTTGATTGTTCGCCTGACCGACAGCCCAGAAGCAAGGGCACCCACAGAACCTGCAGAGCCTTCGGGGCTTCGCGCGCGCAGGGTGCAAGCCTTTGCGGTGCGCGTGTGCGCGGAGGAGGTCAGCCCGTGCACCTACTATTGCGCCGCAGGGTTTCACTGTGGCTGGGTCAGCACTTGACTCACTTCCCGAGTTCCTGGAGGTTTATGTTTGTGGGAAACCACTTCAGTCGCAAACAGAAAGTTTTTAGATTTCTTTGGCAGTCGACTGAGGAAGTGCGCATACTCCACAAGGATTTGGTCTTCTCTTGGTAGGGTGGTACATTTTGCTGACTAAGACTAAGACGATGATTCAACAAGCTTGCTAAGTCCTGGGTTTTGGGGTGACCAAGGCGGCTACTGCGGCATCCAGCAGCACCATGGAGACAAGCAGCAGGCGCCAGCAATATACCGAGAGATATCCTTCCATGTCACTGTTGGTTGAAGGGTGCTTCCTTTGGTTCCCTTTTCTTGCAAATGGAAGCCACAATGGGATAGAATTGTGGCACCTACTACCCAACAAGGCGCCCAGTTTCGGCCACTCGATGCCAAAAAAACACGGCTACGCACGCCTTCGATTCGCTGCCAGGTGCTCTTCTCGGTTTGGAACCACCCACGTGCGGGGCGCAAAGTGGAGACTCGGCTTTGCCAAAAGGGAATCGACCAATTGGTGGCTTCGTTTCTGCTCAAAGACCTTTTCGGCCAAATGGAGATGGGGGATTCCAATCCATTGTTTTTCAACTGGCCTATTCTTTGATGAAGATGTTCCACTGTTGCCTGGTTCTTTGAAGTCTTCCGCTGGGCGTTGTATCTTGGCCGAGGTTCTCCACATTTTGCCAGGTTTTCTTTGTCACCAATTTCGTTCGCCCATATATCTTGGTGGCTCCCAGCCATCCGCTGAGCCTTTTAGCCTTTTAGTGTTTAGTGGTAGTTTCCATTTGACCCACTAAAGTTAAACATTAGAAGGGGATCAGAAAACGGGCAGCCCAGATATGGGGAACCCCTCTCTGGTCCTTCGTGAGGAGAACCTCCATGTGGCGGACGGCGCATGGCCGGAGGCCTTCGGAGGTGAGGGGATGGGCATGGGGGCGTACTGCATCACCGACGCAGGCGGGAGAAAGGGGGGCTCTGAAGGGGCTCCGAAGTCAGGCGAGAGGCTCCCTGGACTGAGCTGGTCCCGTTTTTTGGTGATCAAAATCGTTCCCGTTCAGTGGTAAAGAGAAACAACGAGCCATTTTCGAACTTTAACCCCAGAAAGAGTCAATATAATAACCCCAGCTGAAGTCTAAGGATTTCTGGGGGAGGCCCATCCACTCACACGAGGCGTTCGGGGGAGGCAAAAATGGAACCCGACCGTTTTGAGGGCTCCGCAAGTTTGGTACCCTTTGCAGCCCGCATGGATGACTCCCCAAAAGAGGCCTGAAAAGGGGAAGCACCCTATGAGTAGTTGGCTGAGAATCAGGCTCAGAATCATTTTGCAGCAAAGTCCTCCCAGTTGATTTGGATGACAAACGTAAGTGCCACTTGTGCATGTTCAGTTGACCCCTGAGCCAGGTTTCCCCAGATTTCCGCTGGTGGCAAGCCATCACCTTTTCTTTGGATGTTTCTAGCCCGTTCAGAGTGCTTCCCGAAATCTCGCAAATCGCCGAATCGCATGCCCCTCAATATGTTAAGGGTTAAGATTGCGTCCACCACCCTCAATGGGCTGTGCTACCATGGGTAGTAACATGAGATCTGAGATGTCCCTTTCCAAGGATCAAGCATGCCAACTTCACGGGCAGTACACTCATTATACGGCTTATTCAACTACAAGTGGTGCAATCGCTTGGTAGACAGGGTTGCGCATATCTTTTTCAGGGGACATGAACTAAGTCGTGCCGGCGATTGAGGTCATTTGCTTAGTAATTCCTTTGTTCAAGTCGGGAATGATGGCAATGTGCGCAGGATGTCATTACGAAATGTATGACATCCAGCCCTTGGATTTTCAATTTGCCCAATTTGCCCAGACCAGTGCTTTGTCTCCTTTTTTTGGTCAACAAAAGGCACTTAGGCACCCTTTGTCCGTAAACCTTTAGAGGTAAGGACACCCGGGGAGAATGTTCAAACTCGGTCGCCCAAAGCGAATCGACCTTTTGACCTTTGGGTTTTCCTGCGTTGGTCCATGTTCAGTCAAGAATTCCCAAAGATTAGCCTTTGATGTCCAGAACAAGTAAGCTTACAGGAGTATTGAAGCTAGGTCTCATTCCTGGGTTATTTGGATCCGACAGTCCACTACTAGGTCCCCCACTATTGCCCTTTTACCCTTATTTGGGGGAGGGTTCCCCTAATAAAATAGACTACAGAAAAAAAAACAAGTTGGTGATACCCTCATTCTAAACTCTCTACTGGAGGACCTAGACAAGTCCACAAGTGTGGTCATGTCTTTGGATCCGCAGGGTGCCGGCAGCCGTTGGCATGCTGGCAGCCCAAAGTGGGCTACACCTTCCTGGTGCGATCCACGCCGGTGGAGGACGGCTCCTTGGCTCCGTCTTGAAAGAAAAACCCGAGCAACGAGAGCTCGGAGCTCAGAGCCTTGCTTGGTTCTGCTCACTTCCTGGGTTTCTGGACTTTATACTATTTTCCTTTTTGGGTTTGGACCATCTTAGTTTTTAACGGAAAGTTTGGATTTGTTTTTGGGCCATCCACTTGGCAAGTGAGAATCGGGTTGTGGATGGGCAAACTTCAGTTGGGAAGCCCTATGAAAAGCATCGACACGATTTGAATTATTTATAAGGGCTGCTTTCTCCAATCCCCTTTCCAGCGACAAGCGGCTGGGAGGGCCTTTGGCATCACAGGCGAAAACCCCCACGATTCGCATTCAGCAAGTCCCACCGTATTCCTTTTGCCTTGGTGCGTTCCCTCAACATGATCTTGGCCGAGGTTTTGCTGTAGGCTGACTGGCAGCTGGGGTCAGGGTCTGAAGGCCTTTCACCTGCCAGGCAGAACATCAACTTTTGGACATGTTGGATGAGTTCCCTTGGAGACCGCGGATGCGAACAGAAACCAGCTCTACAGATGCTTCAAGTTTACCCCAAGAGCATGGAACTTGAAAGAAGCGGTGAAAACAGTCATCTGCTTTTTATGTATATACACATGTGCACATTTTATGTATTTCAACTGTTGATCTCACTTCCTGAGTTCCTGGGTCTCAAAACGATGCTACTTTGGATGGACGAAATCAATTTCGCACCACCTGAGATCTTGGAAGGATGATTCCCCTGTAAATACCAGCAAACGTTATGGTTTCAACCATGGTTTCCAAGCCTAAATCGTGCTAGGACCCAACCTGGCAATGGGAACTCTTGACTCCCTTCACTTATTTCCAACAAACACCACTCACTTCCGGAGTGGATTGGCAAACAAAAGTCTAAACTTTTTGTTTACCACTAAAATGGTAATCCCAAAGCTATTGGGGTGGTTCCAGTACTAGGTCCCCCAGTAGTGCCCTTTTACCCTTTTACGCTTTTTTGGGGGAGGGTTCCCCTACTAAAATAGACTGCAGAAAAAATGGTAAGCTTATTCTAACCTCACTGGAGGACCTAGAGTATTACAGTATGTTCCAGTATGTTCCAAGTTGCCATAAACCCAATTGAGCAGAGTGGCATTCGTCCCCAAACGGCTCGAGGCTAAGGCCAAGCCCTTTGCAGCTCGTGTGCCTGCACTTCTTGAAGAGTCGAAGATTCAGACGGCGTCTTTGGGTCTTCAAAGAGTTGTCACGAGTCCCCCCCCCCGCAGAATTCTGATCTTCCAAGTTGTTTTTCTGGTTTTCCAGGAACACCCCACCCCACCCCACCCACCCCACCCCACCCACCCCCACCCCCCACCCCTCCAACCTCTCCTGGCGCCGTAGGCTCGGAGATCAGCTGTAGCCTTCACAAGCCCGAGACCGGCTGGGTCCACTTCGCCACCCACCGGCGCCCCGAGCCGGAGGAGGACCGGCAGACCGGCGGAGTGCATTGGCCTTGGCCTTTGGTGGGGAAGCCAAGAGGCGGGATTTTTCAGGGGGCTTTTCAGGGGTTTTACAAGGGTTTTACAGAATGCAAGAGCCTTTGTTCAGGGGTTTTTCCAGCTCAAGAGGCGGTTGATCATCTTTGTAGCTTCTTGTTTAGTTGCGAGGCTGTTTGTGACGCATCTTTTTGTGTTCCATTTCTGCTTGTTTTTTGTAAAACAGATGTGACTAGCACGTCTCTGGCAATTCCTGGGGCATCCACACTGGTTTAAGACTAGCTTTGAGGGACAGATACAAGATAAATGGGTTTCAGAAGGGACGTGTGACCTCACATTGGCTATGTACATTCTACAGGAATGCAAGCAGCCGCGCGGGGGAGTTTTTGGAAGGGACTCCCTGTGAGGGTGTCATGTTCATGGAAGGGAGAGTGGAGTTTTCGGAAAATAAATGGCAATTCCATCAAACCTAGGAAAGGTCTAGCCCCCTTTTGCTCGGAACCCTTGGAGCAACCCAGAAAACTAGCCCCAATGACCTACGACATCCCTCAAAGCATACCTTGTGCTTTTTTCAGCCTCGCTAGGACCCCAGTCACCTACCAGGTCCCTTACAGGAATCCCGGCTGGGGGAAGTCGTTGCAGGACCGCGGGGCGCTGTGGGGGTTGTACAGCTTCATCGAGGACTTCGGAGCCACCTCCTTGCGCCGCTCGGGGCGCTACAGCGCGTGGGTCTTCAGCGATGGCGCTTGGCGACCGGCTGCTCGGCGCGCGTGCGCCCGGAAATTACCTCTTCCTGGGTGCCTTTTTTTGGGGGGTCGGTTGAAGGGGGCGCCAAAATGGAAGACACACCCAGCTTCCGAGTCCGATTTTGAGGCACACGCAGCTAGGCGGCGCGGATGGGGTGCTACTGTGGATGGACGAAGTCCTGCACCACCTAAGAAACCCTGGAATGCTGCTTCCCCTGTAAAAACCAACAAGCAATGATTTCTCCGGGTTTCCAAGTGGTGCGAATTGGATTTGGTCCATTCACAGTAGGAGCTCCCCCCCCCTCCGCCCCCCACCTAGGTCGCTGATGTCACGGGCACCTCCACTGCTGAGGAGGACGTGCCCAACAAGTGCGTGCGCCTTGCGGGCTGTGAGGTGGAACTGGTGAGCGGCGGTGAGGCGCTCGAGGAGTGCTCGCTCTTCTGTGGCTTGGTCAGGGAGTCAAGAGGTTGGATGTGGGGTTCGGTTCGGGGGTTTGCGGTTGGGGTTTGGGGGTTTGGGGGGGAGGGGGGGGAGGGGGGTTGAGATGGGGGTTGGATTTAGGTCAGTTTCTGGGATTGGGGTTGGAGTGGGGGGTTGGAATTGGATTCCCGACTTCCGCTCGAGGGAATACGCTTCGCACCCTAGCGTTTGACTGAGATGAATGAAGGGACCGTTTTTTTGTCAACACTAATGATGGCCTCTTTTGTTTTCCAGGACGTTCAACAGGTATATAGACCTTGTCTCGAACTAGTGAATTCGAGCGAGGCGCTTCTGAACTTAATAGCATTCAGTGCGGTTCCTCGCACGTGGCAAAGGGGGGAAGCAGCGTGACCGGTTCAATTCACGAAAGGCTTAGATAGAGGGAATCCATGTTCACCACTTGGGCAGCATTTGACTTTGCGCAGACCTTACGCCTGTACGCGTGCGCCGATTTTATTGGAGCTCGCTAATACGAAAATGGGCGTCGCAGCTTGGCACAAGTTCTGTATTTGACAAGCAGTACTTTTTTCAGGGGTCTTCAAAAATGTGCTATTTGCCTGGATTTCCTTATGGGCATTTGCCAGACTCCTGCCCCATAATTGCCTGACTGCTTTTGGGGGGCTCTGCAGAAGTCTGTGGGCGCGGACGAAGGCGGTGAGCTCGCGGAATCCCCGGCGGTGCCGCCGGAGCTCTTGGCAGCGCCGTCGTCCGCGCGGTCGGAGACCGCGAGACTCTCAGATCAGATCATGATCACTGGGCCTGCTTTCTCGGGCTTCCCTTCAATACCAACCAAAGGGGGTCCGCCATTTGGGGAAACCGTTTGTAGGAAAAAGTGGGAGGAACTTGAATGCCCCATGCACCATCATGTTTGAGGCGTTTTGTGTGTTTCAGGCTTGTTTCTCGCCGTTCCCTAGGCAGACATTTCCTCGGCTCGTGCAGGCTGGCTTCATGCTCCCGTCGAGTGCGGATGGTTGAGCTGGCCGGAGACTACGCCCTTGGAGCCGTGAGCATTCCTATCGCTTGGGAGTGCAGTGCTGACTGACCCTGAAACATCCCAGGTATTGATCAGGGGCCTACTTGCCCAGTGGCGCCCTTTTTCCTTTTTTTGGAAAGGGTTCCCCTTTAAACTCAACCAACCAAAAAAGGATGCCCTTTTTTTCCACGTCCACTGGGCATTTGAGGGGGGGCTCCTGGAAGAGCAAATGCTCGCTCTGAGTGACAATCGAGGGTTAGCATTTTGCTGCCGAGCTTTCGGTTTTCCGTTGGCGTCAATCGCTTGCAGCAGGCAGGACAGTTGGCGTCATTTCGGCGCCGCGAATTTGGGTTCTGTGAGATCGATGCAAATGAGGCCGCCCTGGTGGAAGAAAAACAGAATCGAGGTCGCGGAGCAAGTGGCGCATCCAACAGGCCAGGGTTAGTCAACCGCTGAAGCAACCTGAAGATGTTTGAACAGTTGAAACCTATTTGAACCGTCGGCTGTTCCAGCCCACGGGCTCTCGTATTGAAACATCCTACCTCTTCGGTTGATCCTGCACATGAGGCAAGTAGAGGGACTTGAGGCTAGGCCCCTCATAGAAAAAGCACATGCCATCTCCTCTCACCCTGCTCGAGATGTGGTCGATATGTGAAAGCGGCGTGTGCCACTCCAAGTGTTAGCGCAACGAGTCAGTATGATTCAGTAAGGTTCTTGCGAAGAAGTTGGCGAATCGTTTTTGTTCTTCTTCTTTTTTTCTCTGCTGCATTGGGATCCCACCCTGGCTGTAGCCAGGGGAAAACTCAGAACTTTTGTCCAAAAAAGGGCGTGGTAGAACGGGGGTGGGCAGCCTGACTTTGGGACAGCTCCGCAATTCCTCGGCCACGACTGCTTTCTTTCTGTTCGGTGGCTTCCCTGCTCAAGATTCAAGATGGTCAGTGGTCAACCTCAAAAAGGGGGGTTCTTTCCTACAAGGGCCAACTGGCAATGGGTCAAAGACTTCCCTGGAGCATTTGGCAAGACAAGCTCCTGCCAGCATGCTCAACATATGGGTCCAGGCTGGTTTTGCCTAGCTCAACCTTGCCCAGGTCAGACGCCTCTTCGGCCCATCTTTGCACTGGACCCAGTGACCCAGGGTCAAGCTTATAGTGACAGGTGCCATGAGGTGCCCCTCTTGCCAGGCTCCCGATGTTTCTCCCTGGTGGCTTTCAACATCGCTTCTTGGCCAATTCGAAGGGAGCTTCCTGTAGGGGGAGTGATGTTGCAGGGGAAATATATAGGTAGCACTGTCTTGGGAAAGCTGGTAATGCCGTCTTTGCATGGCGTCCTCCCTCGGACGACTGGGAGATGCCCAGCTTTAGCTGGGAATTGCATTTCCGGAGCCTTGGAAAGAATCTGTTGCCCAATGTCGCCAACATCAACTGCTATTCTTTAAGGAGCCAGTTGCCCTTGTGGAGTCACAGCCTTTGATGTCTACCGGGCCTTACTTGGTCTCTTCTGTTTCTATTCGAAGTAATCGAGCCAATCTTGCTGTGTTCCCGGGTTGGCAACCATTTGCAAGTCATCCGCAAGAGCCGACCCAGGGTGCTTTTGACATTTGACTTTCTTTTTTGCCGACTTCTTCGATTCACATGTTCTTTCGTTCTTCGCTTCTTTGGTTCTTGTCATTTTTGGTGGGTAGAGGGTCTGTACAGGACAAAGTCGCTTACCAGGGCTTGCACAGTTGAATGGGCCCAGAACCTCCCTTAAGCCGTTTTGTGAATGGTAAGCCATCGGCCTAGGAAGATTCTGACCAGATGGGCTCAACCCTGCTTTTACCATGAAACCAGCACCATATTATTCAAACCCCATTTTATTAATAGGAGGGTGTGAGCCCCTCCAAAGAGTGGTTTGATTCCAGCCACTACACCCGCCCCCTGCTTGGCTGAACCCTTTCACCTTGAAACCAGCACCGCTGCCCCCCAATGTTGACCCCATATCAAGACCCCAATTTATTAATAGGGGAGTGGAGGCCCCTCCAAAAGTGGTCTGATTCCCCGCTAAACCTAGGGAGAAGCACCCCGCTATTAATAATCTGGGGTTGATGAATACTAGGTCCCCCAGTAGTGCCCCTTTACCTTTTCTTGTTTGGGGGAGGGTTCCCCTAAAATAGACTACAGAAAAAAAATCGGGTACCCTTATTCTAACCTCTCTACAGGACCTAGTTGTAAAAAAACACAAAAGGAGAACCATGACTTCGGGGTGTTTCACGCGCACATGGTTTGTTCTGTGAAGTATGGGGCCAACATCACGCCACAAACCGACAGCCCTCTTCCGCCGCCCCAAGTCGGAGGCCTCCCACGACCGCTCTGCCCACGCGGAGCGTGCGGCGTTGCCAGGGTCCATGGGGGCGCGGGGTGAGGCTTCAGGTCGTCATATGGGATTACATCGGGATATATAATATGTATGTGTAACATATATATATATATATATATATATTGTATATACATGTACGCATTGTTCATACTGTTTGCATGGGTTTGTGTTAGTTTGACTTTGGACATGTTCACTCGGGGTTGGTAGGGGCGGCCATCAACTTATTCGTAGGGGTTTAGACAGCCAGCGTGAAGGTTCCCACCGTGGGAACCCCACCAATGGGGCCATGTGGCCCACAGAAAGAAAATTAACCATGGCATATGTGGCAGGTTTGCATAATTTCGGGCACTGAGGCGGACGTCAGGCCGAATGATGTTTGGCAAAAAGTGTAGGCGAGACCCCAAAAGTGGTTGGTCTTCCTTTCTTTGGTGCATTTTGCTTGGATGTTGGGACTTTAAGTCTTGTCAACTAATGGGTTTTCCATTGAACCACCAAAAGTTAAACTTTAAGCAGGGGAGCAGAAAGCAACCGAGATTTGGTTGCGCCTTGGAACTAACCTCAAGTCGTGCAGAGTAGCACTTTGAGGCATGCTGCGCTGCGGCAGCTTCAAAGCGTCCAGGTTGCGAGTGAAAAAGGGTCCGATCCTTGCATACATGTCTTCCATTTGTTTAAGAACATGTTCTATTTTCCCTGTTGGTTTTAAAGGGGATCTATCACTACTGGAAACTGTTTCTTTTTTTTCCAGGGGCTTAAGCAAATGGAAGATGTCTTGCCTTGAAAACACACGTCTTCCCCCAAAGGGACACCCTAAACTCGGTGCGTATACACCGGCTTGTTCAGGGGCGTCCTGTGCAATACCCCAAGCAACACCGTTGTGGCTTATAGGTAGGTATGTCCAGTTGGGAGCACAGGTAGGGCCCTTGCGCTGATATTTCCAGCTACCATCACTGGTTTTCACTAGCGTCTTTTGTTGGAGTTGTTTTAGCATCACATGTAGCTATTTGGAGGTCATATTATTATCTTGTTGGGATCTTGTTGGGTGATGTGTTGCTGAACGGACCGACGTTCCTTGCAAGGCTTTTTTCAAGGGGAGGCCCAACCCAAAGCAGTCAATACTTCACGCCTTGCTGGAACGGGAAATGGGATGCCAAAACCAACCCAGATTCATTCTTTTGACCCGGGCCTGCGGGGCAGGGGATGGCTGCTTGCGTCTCCCAAATTCTGAGGTCCGGCCCGCTGCACGGGTCATGTTTGGTTCAGGCGGGGGTCTATGTAGAACAAACAACGGGGGTTGAATTATCAAACGAGTCCGATGTTCAAAGATATTGTGGCGTGTTTGCGCTTGAGACAGGCCTTGGCAGGCAGTTGCTGCATGCTGTGGCGAGCAAGCGCTCGCATTACTTCCACCGCTTTGTTGCTATGGTTTTGGTGGTGGCAGGTTCTTTGAGGAGAGCAGGAGGGAGAGCTTCTGGACAGGACCATGAAGATTGACATGTGCGCATGTGAATTGAAGCGGAAGTGCGTTGCGATCCAAACACGCTATCCAGTCGGCTTACTTCTCACTTGCAATCTTTCGTGGGCTCTGGGTAGGTGGTTCATCACAGTCTTCACAGGGTTTCTTGCATTCCAGAGCAAGCGGGCGTCTTCTCACCATGCCGGACCACTTCTGGGTTGGAATGGGGAGGAAAAGATGGCGCTCAACCAACAACTCAAAAAAAAAGCAATGAACAACTAAGAGAAACAATCAGCGACCAACAAAAACACTAAAGCGACTCACCTTTGCAGCGTCGTTTCGGATGGGTTTGGTCCATGGCCGCCTTTGGCTTGAGCTGCCCTGTCAAAGACTGACGGGCGCGCCGGAGGGCCTTCGGGGCGCTCGAGGGAAAGGTGGCGGAGCCTGGGCCGTGCAACGCAAAAACCCCAAGGCCCAGAGTGTAGCCTCAAGCACCAAGTCTTCCCTGAAAGACTTGTTGCAAATCCAGAAATCCCAGCCTTTTTGTTATTCCAGAATCCCTAGGCTCCATGTTTAGGTCAAACCGCCAGCTCCAGTTCTGTTGTTCACAGACCGCCGTCGCTGATGCCCGACGGATTCCTCGGCCTGAGCCTCAGAACTTGGCGATCGAATCATTTAAGCCGGAATGCTCCGGCTGATGGGACCCTCAAAGGATACATACTGTTCATGGACAAAGTTCGGCACCAGGGATGGATAAAACCCCGTAAATAACAGGATAAACCATATAGCCACTAGTGCATTTTTTTGTCTATCAACAGTATGGACCAGTTTTGAAGCACCTCTACCAGCTGCGGACCCTCAAAGTGCCAGCGTGGTTTTCGGAGGTATCCTTTCCAGAACCCCGTGACTTTTTGTTGATTCGGCCCTCGCCCCCCCCAGCACATTTGGTTCGCCTTAGTTTCCGAAGTAGCTGAGATGCGCCACAACATGGTGAAGTTTGTGGAGACTCAAATGCAGATTCTTGCGCATTTGCAGTTGTCTGTTAATTTGCCCGTTTGGGCGGAAATGAGAAGTGAAGTGCATGTTTCTCATGTTTTGCACGTTTTGCGAATACTGCTGGGACATCGGCGGGAAATACCAAACAAATGAGCAACGGGATTTCAAGGCGTTTCACCGGACCCCGGATTCACCATTTCCCTGGTTTATCAATAAGTTCCAGAACACTTTTCGGGGACACCCTCAATGCTCCACCAGGCAAAAACATGCTTTGTCCACGTT